GCACAGCAACAACAAAAATAATATTCCTACAAAAAATAGGAACAGAGAACAAAAACAACCTATTCTCCTTTTTGGAGAACAGGGGTTAGCAATGGTTAATTTCCAACAAACAAAAAATTACAAGAATTTGTTTCTCTTCTAACCAAAAGTTAGAATCACCGAAATTAACTCCAAAAAAAAGTTCTCAACAGATCCGACACAACAATGCAAAACAGACTGGCTGACAGGCTTACAGATCTTATCACAATTTTCAAACGAGAACAGTTTGAATATTAAAGAACCTTTTTCAAAAAACTTTTAATATTTTCGAAACACTTTTGAACTTGACTCCACAGTAAAGAGATCCAAAACAAATTTAACAGATCTAAAACCACACAGAGGCAGATTATCCTGACTTATACTTTGTTTAACAAAGAGAGTTTGAAAAACAAAACCGTTTCTGAAAAATACACCGGTTTAGTAACAAACTAACTGAAACTTAGAAGAACAAAACGATTTTCTCAAAATAACGAAGAAGACACACAGTGCTCTGATACCACTTGTTATTGAAAATTGCGGAAAAGGATCAAATTCTTTATTAAGAAAATCGAACAAATCTTTAACTAGTTTTGGCTAGGCTCAGCCCCTAACCACTCGAAACACAAAATATACACATACACACTCGAATCGCGACTAACACAAGCACATCGGCCACAACACCACGACTCACAACCACAAAACACCCCCACAGTAACAGTAACAGGCATACAGGAAACAGAAACCACAAGCCTACAGTTGAACGAGCCCCTTTCGGCTGCGAACAACACACACACAGGGGAAACAGGTGCCAAAGGAACTCCACAGACACAGGAGGAAAGGCACTGCACAAACAACCGCCGTGAACCGCCGTCGGATGAGAGAGTGAGAGAAACAATCGAGAGAGAGAGAGGCTAGAGAGGGTAAGCTTTTTTGAGAGAGAGTGGGTGATGTATCGAATTCTATATCTTTTTTCTCACACTCCAAGTATATATATATATATACAGGTCGGATGGACGGACAGGATCAAAGCCTCAGATCGGACGGCCAGGGACGTGGCTAAAGAAAAAAAAACACGGATCCTAGTCGGGTCGGATCAGGACGTGGGTCAAGGTCGGGAGGCATAAGGTCAGACTGTCGGTATGTATGCGGATGGTCCAAGTTGGGATGAAGTCGGGCGGACGGTCGAAGTCGGGACGGTCCAAGCCAGGACGAAGTCGGGACGGTCCAAGCCAGGACGAAGTCGGAACGGTCCAAGCCAGGACGAAGTCGGGACGGTCCAAGCCAGGACGAAGTCGGGACGGTCCAAGCCAGGACGAAGTCGGGACGGGTCAGACGGATGGTCTAAGTCGGACCAAGTCGGGCGGACGGTCCGACTCAGGACAGATCTCTGAATCAGGAAGTAGTCAATCGGTTGGTGAAGTCGGACAGGTTGCTAAGTTGGGACGCAGTCGGACGGACAGTGAGGTCGGGACATGGGCCAGGCCCGAATGCGCTCGGGCTGCGAGACGAGTGTGTATTTGTGTATTTATTCGGGGTGGACCATAAGGACAAAAATCCAACAGGTACAGTATCATACCATATAAAAATTTATGATATACAATAATTTTAACACTTTAGTATTTTTTTTCATACGGTACCTGTATTTATTTGAACAAATTGATATTTTTCACTCTTAATAATAGTGATAAATGAATTATTTAAATGAAATATAAAAATCAAATTCTAAATCAAATATATTATTAACTAATTTTCAATCATAAAATATCAAATCAAATATTTTTTATATTGTTTAAAAATTAATTAAAATTTTAGATATAACATAAACACTTATTTATATCATATTGAATATTTATTAATTTTTATTATTCAAAATTCTAGTAATACTTTTAAATTTATAATAAAAGAAACAATAAAAGTTCGGGAAATTAGTAATTGAATAAAATATAGTTAAATTTATGAATATATATATTTTTATAATACTTATGAAAAATCACGATCGTTCAAAATAAATTGGATAAAAAAACTCTTCATAACTATATATATATTTAATATGATACATAATATTGTGTAAAAGAAATAATATAAAAAATTAATTTATTATTTCATATTTAAAATTAATACTCTCTCCATCGTGCAAATGTGTGCTCATTTGATCGGACACTAGTTTTAAATGAAAGTGAATAATAATAGTTATTTTTTTTTGTTACAGTAAAAAAAAAAAGTACAAAAATATAATAATTTTTTACTTAAAAAAGAAATGAGAATATTTTTTAACGAAAATCCAAAAAAAAAAAAAGTATAGATTTTAACAACGAAAAGAGTAATATATAAACAAAATAACATAAAAATATAATTTATCATCCGTACAGCACACTAGTGTGTGTATATTATATCTTATAAATACGAGTTTGTACGGATCTGCCACTTGAAAAGTCTATCTTGCCCCTCATTTCAAAAATGACAATTTAGCCCTTAACCTACCTTTGTACTGGCTTGAAAAGACGTTTTGGAACCGTCGTCAACCGCCCAAGACGAAACGTTTTGGAACGTCGTCAGGTCAGTTACATCAACCGCCTCGCCAAATGCCTCCACCAGTTCCAGAACTTAAATAGCCCACCCAACCAATCCAGAGACCAATCGGTAGACCAAAAGACTCCTTGGCCGCACCCACCAAGCGACCTGTCTATCCGCCTGCGGACCAGCTGACTTGCCTTTGCGACCGCAGACCAGCCGACCTACTTTATCCGACCGCAGACCATCAGAAATGTCTGTCCGACCTTCTAACCATCAGACCTGTCTGTCCGAACGCTAACCATCCGACCGAGGACCAACCGACCAGATCAACCGACCGAGGACCTTCCGACTTGCCTATCCGACCGCTAACCAACCGACCTGATCATCCGACCGAGGACCAACCGACCAGATCAACCGACCGAGGACCTTCCAAACTGCCTATCCGACCGCTAACCAACCTACCTGACCATCCGACCAACCGACCTGAGCGCAAATTTTTCTCCTTTTCCACCCGATTTCGTGTCTAACTTCCTTTAAGATCCTGCTATCCTTATTATTATTATTATTATTATTATTATTATTATTATTATTATTATTATTATTATTATTATTTGTGCGTAACAATTATCAAAGTTGAAATATCATTGGTATTTTTGACATTTCAAAACTCATAAAGAGATGCAGGGTCACCCTTCTTATCTCAGTCTACCCGCCTGCGGACCAGCTGACTTGCCTATCCGACTGCAGACCACCATCAGACCTGTCTGTCCGACCGCTAACCATCCTACCGAGGACCAGCCGACCATACCAACCGACCGAGGACCTTCTGACCTGCCTATCCGACCGCTAACCAACCGACCTGATCATCCGACCGAGGACCAACCGACCGAGGACCTTCCGACCTGAGCGCAAATTTTTCTCCTTTTCCACCCGACTTCGTGTCTAACTTCCTTTAAGATCCTGCTATCCTTATTTTTATTTTTATTTTTATTATTTTTTGTGCGTAACAATTATCAAAGTTGAAATATCCTTGCTATTTTTGACATTTCAAAACTCATAAAGAGATGCAGGGTCACCTTCTTATCTCAGTCTATCCGCCTGACTTGCTTATCCGATCGTAGACCAGCCGACCTACTTTATCCGACCGCAGACCATGAGACATGTCTGTCCGACCGCTAACCATCCGACCGAGGACCAACCGACCAAGGACCTTCCGACCTGCCTATCCCACCGCTAACCAACCGACCTGATCATCCGACCGAGGACCTTCCGACCTGCCTATCCGACCGCTAACCAACCCACCTGACCATCCGACCAACCCACCTGACCAACCGACTTAAGCACAAATTTTTCTCCTTTTTCACCCGACTTCATGTCTAACTTCGATCCTGCTGTCCTTATTTTTATTATTATTATTATTATTATTTGTGCGTAACAATTATCAGAGTTAAAATATCCTTGCTATTTTTGACATTTCAAAACTCATAAAGAGATGCAAGGTCACTCTTCTTATCTCAATCTATCCGTCTGCGGACCGCAGACTAGCCGACCTACTTTATCCGACCGCAGACCAGCCGACCTACTTTATCCGACCGCAGACCAGCCGACCTACTTTATCCGACCGCAGATCATCAGACCTGTCTGTCCGACCGCTAACAATCCGACCGAGGACCTTCCGACCTGCCTATCCCACCGCTAACCGACCGACCAGACCAACCGACCGAGGACCTTCCGACCTGCCTATCCGACCGCTAACCAACCCATCTAACCATTCGACCAACCAACCTGAGCGCAAATTTTTCTCCATTTCCACCCGACTTTGTATCTAACTTCCTTTAAGATCCTGCAATCCTTATTTTTATTATTATTATTATTATTTGTGCGTAACAATTATCAAAGTTGAAATATCTTTGCTATTTTTGACATTTCAAAACTAGAGATGCAGGGTCACCCTTCTTATCTCAATCTATCCGCCTGCGGACCAGCTGACTTGCCTATCCGACCGCAGACCAGCCGACCTACTTTATCCGACCGCAGACCATCAGACGTGTCTGTCCGACCTGCTGACCATCAGACCTGTCTGTCCGACCGCCAACCATCCGACCAGACCAACCAACCGAGGACCTTCCGACCTGTCTATCCCACCGCTAACCAACCGACCGAGGACCAACCGACCAGACCAACCGATCGAGGACCTTCCGACCTGCCTATCCGACAGCTAACCAACCCACCTGACCAACCGACCAGACCAACCGACCGAGGACCAACCGACCTGAGCGCAAATAATTCGATTGTATTTTTGTTTTACGGTTTATATTTCAAATAAATAATGTTTCACTACATTACATTATAGAATAGTCGCGCGGTATACCGCGCAAGAGCGTGTTGCGTGTTCTAGTATATATATACATACACTTGAATAACTCACAATAATAAATAAAAAATTCCAATAGTTCCAAGTCCCAACATGAAGAGAAGCTCATTTTTTATTTGGAAATAGTAAAAAAAACACCCGCAAAACGAAAGCGAAAAACACCCCAACACTAAAGCAATATCTTATTTTGAAATGACTAAAACACCCCTCAACACCAAAGCAACCAATTACTGATACGAAATTACCAACACACCCACAAAAACCAGCAATTAAACTACACAATGCAATTAATAATAAGACACACAAAATGTAGAGATGATCAGATGAGATAAGATGACAGATCATATGATATTCAAGACTTCTTCAAGCCAAGCAAGATGAGAACGATGCCAACATAATCCAACCTGTAAGCACGTTTGAAGAGCTGCAGCTTCTGCCCATTCCATGGCGGATATCTGAACCAGAAATCCACCAAGAACCCCCTGTTAGCCACCACCTTCTCGTGCGAGAACACCTCGAACGAGTACTTCCCGTGGTACCTCCCGAATCCGCAATCTCCCACTCCCCCGAAAGGCAGGCTATCCGCAACGTACTGCAAAGATTTCGAAACAATCCATCAAATTAAGTTCGACTTGATTTCGTCGCAAATTTGATGGCTTCTTGATTACTTACTTGGATTATGGCATCATTGAATATGATACTTCCTGACGATGTCCCGGACGAGAGCTTCTTCATTAGCGCCTTGTCGTTGGTGAATGCGTATATCGCGAGTGGTTTAGGCCTCGATTTGATGAACTCGACACTGTCTTCAATCCTGTCCAGCTATCGATCAATCATGAAAGTAGTTTCGTTAAGTATAAAGACAGAGAATTGAAGCTGCTGAGGAGATTGTTTGTTTGGAGGGAGATGCTTACAGTGATAATGGGAAGTAACGGCCCGAAGATTTCATCCGTCATGATTCGAGATCCTACCGGAGGATCCAACAGCAGTGTCGGTTCGATGAAGCTGAAAGTGAAACCAAATCGAAGTTATAATAATGGTAATATGCATTTGAAAGCAGAATGATGAATGAATGTGTGTGGAGAATACAGATTATCTTCGTCTATAGAACCGCCATGAACGATGGATTTTCTAACTTCCGGATCGTCCAAGAGTCTACTTAGACGCGAAACATGAGCTCGGTTGATTATTCTTGCAATGTTTCTCGATTCTTTTGGATTTTCCCCGAACATGGTTTGTATCCCCTCCTTCAGCAGCTCTATCTGCATCAAGAACAGGGTTGGATCAAGACGTCACATATTTTTTTGTGCCAAGAATGTATTGTTTTTTCATACCAAGGTGGATGAGTAGCTCTTCTCGACTAGAATGTAGTCGATAGCTATGCAAGCTTGGCCAGTGCACGTCCCGAATTTGGCTGACATTATACGTTTCATCGCAACCTGGGCAAAAACAAGATTTTCGGTTATGATCATGGACAATTTTGGGCTAGTTACGAGTCAGTAACATATAAATTGTTTGTCTTAACATCGATGTTTAAATTTAGATTTAATGAGCTTACTTTCTTGTCCCAAGAACCCGAGAGATTATCCACAACTGCAGGGCTTTTGCTGCCTAATTCCAACACAACAGGTGTGAGATTCACAGCTGCAGCAGCCATCACTTCTCGGCCCACAGCAGCGCTGCCTATCGAAGATCGCAGAGCCAAATTAGGCAGAAAACCGAAACATAGCAACACCATTAATGTAATTCGTAGAGCTTATAATAGTATGTGAACCTGTGAAAAATATCTTGTCCCATTTATGTTGCAACAGCTGTTTACCAACGGAGATGCTGCCTTCAATGACTTTTATGGCTGTGGTATCCAAGTAAGAGTGGATCAGTTTCGCCAGAGTCGAGGATGATGCTGGAGCAAGCTCCGATGGTTTTAGAGCCACCGTGTTCCCGGCTGCAATTGCTCCTATCACTCCTTCCAACGATATTCCTAAGATTCGAAGAAGAAATTAAACTTAGATAAGCATATCTTATGATCAGTGCAGAAATTTCTCCAGAATTGCAGAACAAATTGTTTTTACAGAGAACAGAAACTACAATAAATTGTACCGAAAGGAAAATTCCAAGTCGATAGTATGAGAACAACTCCAAGGGGCTCAGGAACTAAGCATGCACTCGAAGGGAATGCAGCGAGTGGCAAATCAGCCTGTAACAGAATTACCAGCAGTAAATCTTCTTGTTGAAGGAAGGGGAAGTATGAAAATCCACAGAAAAATGGCTTTTTATTATGAGAACAGAATGAGAATTAACCTTCTTAGGCGACATCCATGTTTTCAACCCATTCAACGCATACTGTACTGTCTTTATCAGCGGACCTACCTGAACAACCAAACTCCATATTTATTCCATTAAACACCGACATCATCAATTTTAATGGCTGAATCATACTGCAGTATGTAATAGCTGCTTGAACTGTGGCTTCTCAAATCATTTCACTTTCCTTTGAACAGCGGTTTAAGGTAATGTTTTAGTTTTCTCTGCTACGATTTCAAATTGAATGATCCAAACCAGTGATGCAGAAAATAATTTGTTTAAATTTGAAGAATCCAAGAATAGTTTCATTCACAGCTTCCATCTTCTTCGTTGAGGACAAGAATCGAACACATAACAGACATATCCAAAAAAAAAAAAAAAAACTCAGATCATGTTCATTTCTGCATAATTACCTCATCTCTGAAGGACTCAACAGAATGCTTTCCTAAATCCTGCGTGAGAGCCTCGATTATGTCCTGCTCCTCCTCCTCCAGAAGACGCAGCAGATTCTGGAGCTGCGACCGCCTCCACGACTCTTCCTTAGTTTTCCCAGAATTAAAGGTCTGCCTCAGCTCCTTGATTTTGAGCTGTATGTCGTCTTGGCTGAGGGAAGCCATGGCTCGTCAATCCGTGCTGCATTCGCTCCTTCATCCGACCACTATTATATGCAAGCACGCAAAAAGTGATACTTCCCCAGGCAGGCAAAGTACGTGCTACGAAGGCGAATTGAAGAGGCCATTAATGCACGCACTCCATTGTGGTTTCTTCACGGTTGGAATTACATCACATTACAGCATCCGAATTTGTATTGTACCTTCCAAACAGCACATCCTACGAAAGTGAGTAGTACAGAATACATTCATCTGTGCTCATAGTCTAGACTTGCCCGACGGTTCCGAACCGCCGGTTCTTGTTTGCTATCGAACCGAAACTGTAACTGATTTTTACACGGTTGGTTTATTCCTAGAACCGTGAAGAAGAAGAAGGAAAAGGATAAATAAATAAATAAATAAATAAATAAAGGCAGCCATTTTTTTAATGAAATGATTTTTTGGTACGTAATATTATAATTGGGTCAAAAATATAAAATATTTTAAATTAAATATTTTGATATTTTGTAATAATATTTTGATTAAAAATAAGAATTTCGACTTTTGTATAAAATATTACTCTTTAGTTGGTACCATTTTGGTTCGTTTCACTTCAAAATATCTATTTTTTATTTTTAGTAAAAATAATCATATACCAATACTAAAATATTATTAATTTTTATCTTAATTATAAATATATCATTACAGATACAATTATTTTATACATATAGTGCAAAAATGTCAAAATCTCTTCACACTTTATTTCTACTGGTCAATAAAATATTATCATTTTTTAATTTACTACAAAATTCCAAATAACCCATTTGGACCAGGACGAATGAAGTATATTTTTATTTTTATTTTTAAGAATCGTAATTAAAAATTAGTCATGATCTCAATATATATAATATATGTTTCATCATCTTATAAATTTAATATTTAATATAAAATATTATTTTTTATATTATTTATCTAATTATTTATAATTCATAAAATATATATATATATATATATATTCCAAACAAACAAACAAACCAAAATAAAAGGAAGGATGAGGAAAAAGGAGAAATTAGTGCGACTGGTGGATGTGGATGTGAAGTTATTAGGGTAAAATTTCTGATGCAAACTTTAAATACAAATCATTATTATTTAATTTTGTAACTTTTTAATAAAAATATATTATTATTATTTTTTTATAAAATATTATATTAAAATACTATTTAAATAAATATGTTAGTTTCAAATCAAAATCAAATTATTTTTTAACAATAATTCTATATGCTATATTTGCATTAACTTTTATGAACATAAGATATAATTAAAATTATTATATAGTATTATATTTTTATTAAATAAAAAATAAATATTAAAAAAAAAACTTTAAATAATTAATAATGAGATAGAAAAAAATAGTAATGTAATAATATTTCTATATATTCATAATTTTGTACTATGTAATACACTATTTAATAAAATTATACTACTATTTAATTTAGATTATATTATTATCTAATATATTATTTAATTTAATTTTAATTTTAATTCAATATTAAGTTTAGTTACATAATATATTCACTTTCATTTTTGTTTTCATAATCAATCTTTATTACTATTATTACATCAATTTTTTTTATTCAAATACATTTAACAAAAATCAACATCATATAATTCCTTTTAACTCTAAATTCCAAAAATTGAAAACAATGAATAATTAACAATAATAATTTCGATTTAGAATTACAATCAAATATGTTGGGTTCTTCAAAATATTAAATGAACACACTCACTTTGAAGTATATATTGAAAATTTGAGTTTAAATAATATTTTAGTATAATATTTTGTTAGATGAAAATAATAATATTATGAATTTTTTTTTTTTTAAAAAAAATGAAAATGTTTTAGGCAATACTACAATTAGGGTTGTCAATTCGTATTTTTGGGTCGTGTTCGTGTCGGGTTGAGCCAAAGGGGATAACCAAAAAGCTGTCAACTCGAACCCAACCCGAACTCGAAATTTGACCTGAAACCCTAGACCCGAACACGGCACAAATTTTTTCAGGTTGGGTTTAGGTTGACCTGAATTAATTTCAGGTCATCCAAAATCCGAACAAACGCGATACGAACCCGACACGAAACAAACCCAGAAAACTTAAAAAAATTAAATTAACCTAAAATTAAAATTATTTTTATTTTTATTTTTATATAATTTTAAATATAAATAATATAACTATTATAAATTAAAATAATAATAATAATTATTTCAGGTCAACCCAAAACACGAAATTCAAAACCTAACCTGATTTTATATTTCGGGTTATCAGGTCAACCCGAAACACGACCCGAACACAATACAAATTTTTTTCGTTTCGGGTTCAAATCGACCCGATTTTTTTCAAACCCGAAATACTCAAACCCGAATCTAAAAAATTTCAGGTCAAATAGGTTCGATTTTTCGGATCGGGTTTATTTTGACACCCCTAACTACAACATCTATTAGTATTATTTTGCTAGTGATTGATAGTATATAAGAGTTCTAGTATATTGATTAAAATGTATATAAAAAATACAATTAAAATAATTGGACTGAAATTTTAGGTGAAGAGTATTTATTGTTTGTAACAATCATATTTAATAAATAAAAAATTGAGAACTTGATTATGAGAAATATAAAATGATAAAAAAATATATATATTAATAATGAATAAAAAAAGTATAAAAGGAATTGACCCAAAAACCCACGGATGTGTTTGTTTTATGGGATTATTGGAAAAAAAAAAAAAATTAATGTGAAGTGCATCGCCTAAATATATAAAAATAATAAATATGTATATTAATTTTTTTACAAATAATGATAAAAATATAGAAAAAATTGTATTTCACTTAAACCGATTAAAAATTACCTTAGAATACTCCACGCTTTATTTGGTTTATATTTCAAACTAATTTCTTATTATTTAATTATATAATTTTTAATAAAAAAAAATATATTTTTATATAAAATGTTATATATTTAAATATCTAAATAATTTTTTTTTAAAAAATAAAGTACAAATATAAATCAAACAAACCAGTAAATATGAACTGTGATTTATTTTATTCTTTTATTTATTAACAGCCAAAAATCACCCTATCAACAGGTGATTTTTTGCAGGAAGAAAGATAAAGGTACCAATTTCCATTCCACATATTGGGTGTACTTTCTATATTAATTGTATTCTTTTTATGGTAATATTAATTGTATGTAAAAAAAATTATTTTTTTGTTATTTTGTTATTTTCAGTGTTTTCATATTATTTATTTATTTAGTATTATGATTTATTTCAATAAAATTGGTAAATTTAATATTAATTTGTATATTAAACATATACTTTAATAACAATTTTGCATATAAAATATTAAAAAACTTAACTACATTTATATATATATATATATATAAAATAGAGATCCATATATTTTTCATACAAAATTACATTCAAGAACTACTTTACATACAAACATCAAAACTGAAAATATTTTGTTTGTCCAAATATTTTTTGTCGTTACAATTTTCAATATATATATAATATTTCATAAAAAATAAATATTCAACATAAAAAAAAAAAAAAAAAGCAGCAACACAAACCATCAGGCTAATATATTTATGCTATAAATTTCAATGTTGCTTTTATACTTCAATAAATCCGTCCATTGCATATTTAACTAACAAGGGATAATATTTAATACTCCCTCCCGTCTCACGTACTATACCCACCGTTTTTGGCCGTTTTTGTCCGTAACACATACTATGTCCCTTTCATTTTTTGAAAAATAATTATACACTTTAATCTCATTTTAAACTTTTTAATTTTATTTTTTTTTAAATTTTAATTAAACTAATTAGTTATCTTAATCTTAATTTATAATTATTTATATTATAGGATAATTATTTTCACTAATATATTTTTAATTATTTACTAATTACATTCCTCCTAAAATACCGTGTCTATAGTGTAGCAGACACGGAGCGGAGGTATTAATAAATTTATTATGATAGATAATGCATCACACAATTATTGTGACAATAATTTAGTTTATTATTCAGAATATTAAAATTATATTTGATTATTATCCACCTATAAAATTATGTCCCCGTAAGGGATAATTCAGTGTTGTAGGGTTCAAACCCTCGACATCTCAGGTTAGTTGTTATACACAGTTCGCCTAGTGTGATGTTCCCAAAAAGACAAACATCTTATCCACAAAGCCATTTTATCCTTATAGTTTCAATAGTTTATCCATAGATTTTAGAAGTTTTATCCAACAATTATGGCCTAATTTATGTTGTCTCTTGTTAATTTCAATCTTTTTTTATGTTAATATATGATTTCCTGCATATTTAATCAATTTTCTAGTAGATTTTAGACAAAATCCATCAAATAAGTCATTTAGGCTCAAAGCGGCACAACCGTTATACTGCCGAAGCCACCCCCAATCCAACAACAAACAGACTCTTTGGAGTGCTGTCGGAACTCACATTCAGAAAAAGGGTCGAAGCCTTTTCGAAAAGATCTACGATTGAGCTTCGCAAAAATTCATTTTTCAGTTCCAACACTCCCGTTTTGTTTATTACCGAGATTTATCAGTACATTTGTTAAACTACTCGATTCATAATGGGAGCACAATAACGTGTATGTTAATTTTATATAACTAATTATCATTTTAGTATTTTTTTTGACTGACAACTACTTTTGGAAGTGAAATACATGTTTGATTCTATTCCCAATTAGGTTAATTTTCATTCTAATATAGTATCATCTTCAAATTACCCAATACATTTACAATCATACAATTTAGATGTAAAAATATCAAATAAGCTTGCAAACATAGTTTATTAACATATGAAATGAACTATTTGTTTGAGTGATAAAATTTCAACCTAATCCATTGGCTTCCAGAATTTTTAAAGTTATTAATAATGCTTTGGTTATTGTGCTAATTGAGTCAAATCACATAGTGCTCAGGCTCATAACTAAAAAAATAGCTCATATTTTAAAATATTTGCATATTATTATTATTAAATTCTAATTTTTAAAATTAAAATTAAAATTTTAGGTTTTACTTTTCTTCTTCATGATTCAATCCAATTTTAATTTTAAAAATTAAATTTTAAACTCTAATCATATATATATATTTTTCTTTTGTTTCTAACTAAGCTGCATTCCATCTTCTCAAATTTAATCATCGCGTACACCCCCTCCCTTCATATCTGCCTCGCCGTACCCACCCACTCACCTAGACCAAATTTGCCTCGCCCTTTCACTTTTCTCTTTTTTTCCCTCCCTCAGATCCCTCTCTTCGAACCTCCGAACACTACTGTGAAGCGCTGCTAGTCTACCTTTCATCTTCTTCTTCCTCCAAATCGACACAGTCAAATCTCTGTCTTCAACCTCTTATAAGCCAACACCAACATCAGTAGTATTATTTTGAAAATATATTTAATCATGTTTTTTATAGAGCCTACAATTTATTTCTACTCAGGGCCCCAAAAAGTTCGAGATAGCCCTGACATGATCAATACATGTTTATAAAGAAAGTAGCACATATTTAATAGTACATTTTAGGAAAAAAATCTGTTAGGATTAATGGAATAAACTGAATTTCACAAATTATAATTAGGGTACAATGTTATATATATATATGAGATATATTAGACAGGGATATATATATCTAAATATATACAATATATACATATCAACATATATATCAACATCTCCCCTCAAACTCAAGGTGGAACAGTGGAACCCAACTTGAGTTTGCTCAAGAATGACTGAAAATGGTCGGGAAGATGAGGCTTGGTGAAACCGTCAGCAGTCTGATCAGCAGAAGAAATGGGAGACAAGGAGATGTTTCCATGAGCAACGTGATGATGTACAAGGTGGAAATTGATCTCAATGTGCTTCGTACGCTCGTGGAAAACATTATACGTCAAAATCTTCATGGCGCTCTTACTGTCGCAATGAATAATAGTGACAGAGGATTGAGGCACACCGAGATCAGCTAGCAGCCAGCGAAGCTATAGAAACTCGGCAACGGTGTCGGCAATGGCTCTATATCTGGACTCTGCACTAGACCGGGAGACAGCCGTTTGTTTCTTGATGCGCCACAAAATAAGCGAGTCGCCAAGGAAGAAACAAAACCCGGTGGTTGAGCGGCGATTAGAGGGATTTCCCGCCCAATCAACGTAAGAATACCCGGTCAAAACTAATGACGAACGTGCTGAATAATGAAGCCTTTGGAGGAGAGTACCTTTGATTTACCGGACAATCCGTAGACCAGCAGAATGATAAGTCATCCGAGGAGCATACATAAACCGACTGATGATATGGATGACATAGGCAATATCCGGTTGAGTGACAGTCAGGTAGATCAGACTTCCTACCAGCTGATGATACAGAGTAGGATCATCGAGGGGGACGCCGTCCATGGGAGTAAGACGATAGTCAGAATCTAGAGGCGTAGGAGCAGTCTTGGAGTCAGTGAGACCGGCACTAGACAGAAGGTCGGAGACATGCTTGGCTTGAGAGAGATAATATCCGTCGGAGGTGTCGGAGATCTCAAGACCTAGGAAGTACTGAAGAGGCCCTAAGCTCTTCATCTCAAAGTGGCGGTGTAGATGAGTCTGTTACTCAGAGATACCGGATGCATCATCCCCCATAATGATCATGTCATCCACATAAAGTAGCAGAACAGCTGACCCACGATGAAGGAAGAGAGCCACGATGAAGGAAGAGAGCCGAATCATGATCGCTAGAAGTAAAGCCAAGCTGGAGTAGAGCAGAGCTAAATTTCGAAAACCAAGCTCGAGGCGTTTGTTTCAAACCATACAGGGCATGAAGAAGTTTACATACCTTGGAAGATGTAGGAAAGCCAGGAGGAGGAGACATATAGATGTCCTCGGATAGATCACCGTGCAAGAACGCATTCTTGACATCGAGCTGATGTAGGGGCCACCGACGAGCGGCAGCGATAGCGATAAGGCAGCGGATGGAGGTGAGACGAGCAACCAAGGCAAATGTCTCATCATAGTCTATGTCATACTACTGGGTGTAGCCTTTGGCTACCAAACGCGCCTTGTAGCGCTCGATGGATCCATCAGAGTGAGTTTTGATTCGGAATACCCATTTACAGCCGATAGGTTTCTTGCCAGAGGGAAGATCAACCATATCCCACGTATGGGTTTTCTCCAAAGCCTACAACTCTTCAGACATAGCATGCCGCCACAACGGATCCGCATATGCCTCACGAAAGGACCTGAGCTCATAATGGGACAAAATGGCAAAAAAACAGTGATAATCGAGTAAGTGAGTAGGTAGGTAACTAACCCGAGTGGAATGGCGAGGGCCAGGATTAGGGTCTGAGGTCGAAGTAGTGTCAAGCTCTGGTAATGGTGATGCATCAGAGTCGAGAGTAGTAGTAGGCTCGGGGATTAGCGTTGGTTCAAGAGGCGCAGCCGGGACAGCATCAGGAGCGGGGGACGGGGCCGCATCATCGGAAGGAAATAGAGGTGGAGAAGACAAGGTAAAGAACAGAGACGAACAATCAAAGGGGACTCGAAAGAGGGACAAGGTAGAGAATTTAGTATTCTCCCAGAATGTGACATAACGAGAAATACGCAACCTATTGGAAATGGGATCCCAACAACGATAATCCTTATGCTCTAACCGGTATCCCAAGAAGTAACACAGACGCGCGCGAAGTTCCAACTTAGTACGCTCATGAGGAGGGAGGAGGACAAAACTGACACAACCGAAAGGGCGGAGAAAACTATAATCAGGGGCTCGATTAAATAGTCTTTCAAAGCAGATAATAGAAGGGTGCGGACTGTATCGAGGATATGACGATGTTTACGTTCGGCGCGACCCTTTTGTGGAGAGGTGTATGGGCAGGAGCATTGGACAATAGTACCCTGATCAGATAGGAAACGAAGAAAGGAAGAATCAGTATACTCAAGAGCATTATATGTGTGGAGAGTTTTTATGGTGGAGGAAAATTGGGTATGTATCATTTTAGCAAAGTTCATATAAATAGATAGAAGTTCAAAACGCTGCCACGTGAAGTAAATCCATGTAAAGCGAGAATAGTCATCAATAAAAAGCACAAAATAACGTGAACCATTAATAGAAACAACGGGTGAAGGTCCTCAAATATCATAGTGAACTAATGAAAATGGTGTATCCGCAACGGAAGTACTATGAGGAAATGACAAGGCAGGTTGTTTTCCCAACGAATAATCCACACAATTAAAAGACTTAAACCTAACAAAACCCAAAAGACCTTGACTAATCAAACACCTAAGTTTATTGGAGGACGCATGACTGAGACAATGATGCCACTAAAGGCAGGATGGTGTAGAGGTGGTGGAAGCCGAGATAGAGGGACGAGGGAGCTGAAGTGACTTAAGTTCAAATAAACGGCCTGTCTTCCGGCCCTACCCGAGGGTCCACCCGGTTTGCGCATCCTGAACTTGCACACTAATAGAAGAGAATATCACTGGGAGACCTTGATCAACTAATTGACCAACTGAAATTAGATTTAAGGTTAATTGGGGAATACAATATGTGTCAGGGAGGGATAAGGACGAAGTGGATACATGTCCAGTATGAGTGATGCGCATATGGGTACCATTTGCAGTAAGGATAGGGAGTAGGGACGGTGCGGTGGATGTAGAGGTCATAAGCCGTATATCAGAGGTCATATGATTACTTCAGGCAGAATCAAAATACCAATGAGAGTTACCTGATGTGGTAGACATAGCGGTATTGGAAGATAGAACATGTTTAAGAAGAGCCTCCAAGTCTTGAATCGTAGGAGGCGCAGACGCAGACGTGGCAGAGGCTGTGACAAAGGAGGTACTAGACTGAGGAGGTCCACGAACATGCCGAGGCTTGGAATTACTGCTGCTAGAGCGAGACGGCGTAGTAGGACAATACTGTATAGTATGCCCTAAAACATGACAGTAGTGGCACTCCACCTTGGGGCAGTGACCGAGGTCATGATCAGAAGACTGACATCGTTTGCAGCGGAGGGGACGACTCTGAGTAAGAGTTCGGGCGGTGACCGTAAGAGCATAATCAAGCAGAGGAGCCTTGGCTAGGTAGAGAGGAGTTTCCTCAAAAAGAATCTCCTGAATAGTTGCATCCAATGTAGGAAGTGGGTGCCAATGTACCAAAGAGGCACAAAATGCCTCATACTTTGAACGCAAAGTCATCAAGACCTGGAGGTGAAAATGATCAGGACTGATCTCAGCTTGATCCAACCGATGCCAAAGGGGTTGCACTTGCGCAAGAAAGGCGTTGACAGACTATCTTGGTTCCTGCTTTAGATCATGGAGAGTACTCCGTAGCTGATAATAGTGCGCCAAACCAGTAGCACGGAAGCGAACTACCAAGAAATCCCACGCTGCCTTAGCAGTTTCAAATTGGGCAAGCTGCACATGTATCGCCAGAGTGGAAGTATTGCACAACCAAGTAAGAATCTGATGGTTCTTACTGTCCCAATCCTCCAATTTTTCAATATAAGATTCGACAACTTTGGCGGTAGACGCAACTTCTTCTATAGAAACCAGAGCAACGGGAGCAACTATATCCCTGTAACAATCCGCCATAGCTTCCTTCCTATCATGAAACTTTTCATCGATTGTGCCCAAAAACTGTAATTATCTCCGAACATGACAACACTTATCGGAATATGAACATCCATCTTTTCCATAAAGAAATTTTCAAGTGTAGACATTATCTCAAGCCGAAAGCTGAAATGACAGAAACACAGACAAAATCGAATCGAATCCGAAACACGAAAAATCAGACGGATAAAGAAAACTGCTCAAACGAAAAAAGTGAGTATACCACCGCAGAGGAAATTGAATTCCGAATACGACAGTGCAAAAATCGCCGGCAATGGCCGCCGCGCGTGCCTCCACACACCGGCGAGGCGTTCGGCCAAAAACTTCGTCAGGCGCGTGTGAGGCTCACGCGCCGCCGTTGGCCGAACTGTTCCGGATTCCGGCCGGTCTCGAGGCGGCAAACATAGTGGTGGTGGCGGTGACGATCGGCGACAGTTGGAAATGTGTGATCTGAGATGCGCGGATTGTTTCGATTTGTTCGGGAAAAATCATGACTCTGATACCATGTTAAGATTAATGGAATAAACTGAATTTCACAAATTATAATTAGGGTACAATATTATATATATATATAAGATATATATTAGGCAGTGATATATATATATATATATCAACAAAATCAATTTCGGTCGTATAGAATTAAGCATAAACAGAAAGGTACACGATATTAAACACAAACAGAAGGTACGGCCGGTAAATTAAGTGTATTAAATTCGTTATGTGTAAGCCAGTCAATTGAACTGTTCTGCACGGGATCCGGCGTAATTTCCCCGGATCCGGAACCTCATATAGATATTGGATCCATATCTGGATCCTGATCCTGATCCATTTTATCTTAAAATCAGATAAATAGATTATTCTCCATCCGTCTTGAAATAATAGTCCTATTCTGTCATTTTCGTTCGTCTCAAAACAATAGTCTTATTTTCATTTTTGGTAATTAACTCTCCATTTTTTTACAAAATTATCTTATTTTTTCACAATAATTACATAAAGTAAGAATATTTTAGTTTTTTAAAAATATTTTGACACTCACTGTCAATATAATAATATAATTTTTTAATTCTCATGACAATCCTAAATGTCTCCATTGTTTTGGAACAATGAAGTATGATATTTAAAAAAAAAAAAAAATTATTATAAATTAATAGTAAAAATAAAAAAGAGAAAATATAACCAAACAAATTGATATATATATATATATGTGCAAACAAATCTCATATTATTGTTAGTTGTATAATTTTATTAAATATTGCACTTTAAAATACAACTCATTTTAATTATGATATTAAGTTAAGAACGCGAAAAGGATATTTAAATGTATTTATTTATGATATCCATTAAATTTGAATTTACTTTTAGGGTGTGTTTGTTTGGGGGATTGGATTTTAATCCCACTATTCATTCAATTTTTCTCCTCAAAAAAATCAAATCAAATATCTATTTTTTATTTTTTATATTATAGTAAAAATCAATTTTATATTTAAAACATCACATCAACAACTATTTATGTCACATCATACAACTATTCAAATTCAAAATTTTTACTATTCAAATCCCAACTCAAAATCCAATCCTCCAAACAAACAAACACACCCTAAAGTAGTTGGGCGTTGAATGATTAGGCTGTTGCAATGAGAATAATCAATTATGCTGATTGGTCCATTCAGTATATAAAAATGCATTAGATAATACATAAAAGAAATACATTAGACGATATATATTTTATATTTCTTCCGTCCAGATGTAAAAGTCATGAACAATTCGTTTGCGTCATTATACTTAATATTAAAAATATTTTTTTATTTGTGTAATTTTTTGCACAAATATCATCATAATAGTATTATAAAACACTCATAGAATTATTTTTGTCATTTTTGCTTGATTTGTATTACGTTTTCATATAATAATTAATATTCAAATATCAACACGACAAAAAACAAATCTGACTCTTAGATACTGACGAAGGTAGT